AGCTTTTGGAGAGCCAACAGGCCGATGTCTTCGACCTTGCAGAAGTTTCTTTGATAATGTATTTTCTTTTTATGCAACATGAGGTAATCTGCACAAAAAACTCTATCCCGGCTGAAGTGGTCAGCCATCGCCACACTCCTTGAGGCTCAAATTACTGGCAACGCAACTATGCGTGAAACCAGCAGCACGAAAGTGATCTATCTGTCGTCTGTTCCTATGTCTCTCACCTTTAATGAGAGAAGACGTAAAACAGCGTGCGCAAGTATCCACAGTGCGAATGCAAAACTGAAGTATAGTACGTTAAAATGAATTTCACAATGTTTTTGTCGATAAAATTACGGGAGGCGTAATCTTTGTTCCTACTTTGAACCATGTAATCTAAAGCCTTGCCTCCCAGATGCGGCGCACAGCAATTCATCTGTAGAGCCGACGACGGTTGACAACTTGCCCTAAAGCGTGTTCTTCAGTTTAATGTGGCGGAATTCGTGCCCCAAATGATAAAAAATTGTTGTGAATCGTTTATGAGCTCATTCAACATTCAATTCTCTTACCCAACATGTTGTAAACACATGGCCGTCACAGCAGCTCCATCTGTGCGTCAGTAATGGAGAGGTACCACATATTAGAGGTCTGAGTGCTCTACGTATAAGAGTGAATTCGGATACTGTAGAATACCGTGTTCAAAATAGTTACTCCAATCTGCTAAAACAGCCTTTCTTCACCAAATGCGATCACGTTTACTCGCATTTGAAGCTCACTGCCGCTTTTCCGTTCCAATTTCTAGATTTCTCAACTTATCAGCGCATTCTCGAAAAGCTCTGATTTGTACCACAAATATTGTCGCTAAAAACAAAATAATGCAACATGTTTTTCTATATTACTGTATGATGGCCTTCGGTTGTCTATTTACGAGATTTAAAAAAAAATCGAAGAAGGGGTTTTTTTATTATTCAAATTGCAGTGGAGTACACTTTTGCCAATATGATAACTTTTAGGAAATATATAAAAATTTACATTTGCCCTACGGCAGCCATAGTTTATGTACCTAATGAACACGCTATATGCTTAAAACGTGTCAAGTTCGAAAACGCTGCTTGCATTACTTTTGGAGAAAAAAAAATGAGGAATACGTAACCCATTTTAAACTGTCGTAAAATAGACATCTTTAAAAGCTATTTTCTTAAGGTCTGCAAACTTGGAACCGTATGAGTTCATTATTCATTAGACATAAATTTCAGGTAAAAAATATCTTCCTTGAAACAAAAATATTTGTCTTTTTATAGCATCTGCAGTTTTCGAAAACGACCGGTGACGAAGTTGGTGCCTCCGTGTTGGTGAAGTTTGGTATTTTTTTTCTCATAAGTTATACCGTTAATAATAAAACAAAGTTGACTTTCGGGCTACCTGGTGAGAGGTGAACGAAATATAAAATACTCATTGAAGTCTAAAATATCAACTTTTGGACCCGTGTCGATCTCTCGTGGAATCACCCAGCTATGATTCGAACGCGGGCCTTCGAAGTAGGAAGTGGGCATTTTACCACTACACCACTTTGGCGGAGCCGCACGCAACTCTTAGAATGAGGGCACATTACAGTCTACCAACTGCAGCGCCACGAGGGGCTTGGCCCTGTTTGGGCGTCACTACTCCAAGCTCGTTGCAGGCACTCCGCTGCGCTAGTACACTCTAACATAGCTGTGTGCAGCTCTTCTGAACTAGGGTGGTGTGCTGTCTCACGGGTCTGCGAAATTTGGAAGCGCTACGAGGTAATAACTTAGCTATTATAAGGAAGACGCTGACACTGAATCATTGGGGAGTGGAACCGGCACGGCCGCGACGATGCGACGTAAGCTATTTGTGCGGTTTTTTTTCCAGGTTAGTAGACTCTGACCATTCTTTCTAACAGTTTATGTTTTGCTGGTTTCACTCCAAACAATTCCTTACGAAAAAGATACTTTATACATAGACGACAGCATAAATTTCATTTACATCTTTTGTAATGCCATGTTTTCTACTATGTCTTTCTTTTTGTGTACGTAGAAGCTGAAATCGAGCCGGGTAACGCTAGCCAGGAAAAGGTACATCTACTTCTTGACGGACAGGCAAAGATTAAATGTGCCCCGCCATAGTGTCTAGTGGCTAAGGGACTCAGCTGCTAACCCGCAGGGCGCGGGATCGAATCCCGGCTGCGGCGGCTGCATTTCCGATGGAGGCGGAAATGTTGTACGCCCGTGTGCTGAGATTTGGGCGCACGTTAAAGAACCCCAGGTGGTCAAAATTTCCGGAGCCCTCCGCTACGGCGTCTCTCATAATCATATGGTGGTTTTGGGACGTTAAACCTCGTATATCAATCAATCAAATAATCAAGAATAAACGTGCGCTTCCAGCCATTGAGGAAACCTAGGCAGAAAATAAGAACGCGATTGATGGCCTCAATGAACGCATTACGTCAATGAAATCCAAATAATCTGGTTTTGATTAGTTTTGTGTGACCGTAGAAGAGTAAAAATGCACGTGACGACTAGCGTCGCCTTATCACGTCATTTTCGGCCAAAGCTGAAGACCTTGATAATGAAAACCGATGCTGCTGTCTCGTATTTTCGGAGGTCAATGAAACGATAACGATAAAACGAGACAAGATTGTGTGCGTTACATGCTTGATTCCCGTTTCTATGTCGAGTCTGCGCAACTTACCAAATAAACTTGCGCATCGCCCGGGCAGGTTTCAACAGAGAGAAAAATCATCTATTGCAAGGTTTTCTTGACACCAGGAGGAACAGTTGGTACTGCATAACTTTGAAAACTTTAGGGACAGCCCGGTTGCAACTGCTGAAGACTTTCCGGACCTCGTACGGTCGAAAACTAAGCAGATGAAAAACTTTTTGAAAACTCGTAGGAAAAAAGGCAACGATGTTAGGCCATCGTTATGACACCTTGTTATACAATGGCGCGAAGTATTTCCATAATAAAGAAATAAAATAGATGTTTTCTCTGAAGTGGCCGCATAAGTGTGAAAATAACAAATGTATCGTTTTTTGTGATGAATTGCAAAAATGTCTAGCGAAATAAAGTTCGCGAATTCAGCGTGCTCAATACTTGATTCAACATGCTAAGTGATGATATAGCAGACATCCTGATGTTTCCAGACAATTACACGCCCTACAGTAAAGACCGAAATTCTAGCGGTGGCAGAGCTTTCACATAGCAGAAAAGAGCCTTTCATTTGTCCAGCTGCATGTTCAATGAAGTTAGTGAATGGGAAGCTGTTTTCAGTGCGATAACATTTTCAATCAAATGCGCTTTGATCTAGTTTCTATAGGCCACCTAATTTATTTATTATTTATTATTTATTTATTTATTTATTATTTATTTAACATACCTTACAGGCTCTCGTTAGAGCATAGGGTAAGGGGGCTTACAGAAAAAAAGAAAGAAAAATGAGAACGTATACAGTTCAAATACACAAATAAATGCAACATAACAGCGACACTAAAACAGTAATAGAACAATGAAAATACAGTCACCAAGTATATGCACCTCCATACAAATTGGTTGATATTACGTCTATTCAGATCTGCGGTTATAAATAGGGAGAGAGAATTATTGTACGAAAGGTAGACAGATTAACTAGGCTACGTCTAGCTAGCTACCACACTTTTGGGGAAAGGGTTTTCAGGACGTAAGAGAGAGAGAGAAAGAGGTGCATGGTACACAGCACACACACAGTGCGGGGTTTCAGAAGCGGTCAATTGGTGATGTTTCCTTCAAGAATTGTGGAAGGAACCACGTGGCTTTCTGGCTGGTGTACACTAAGATCATGTGGTTCAAACGGTACAGTTTGATGACTTGGTAATGGGTTGTGACTCATAGGTGATCCCTATGACATGATCAGGGTTGGCTGGTATGTTATGATGGCTGCTTGTGCCAAGAAATGGTGAGTATAGTCAATTTATGCGCTCATACTACTGCAACGTCGCCACAAGGTAACACGAATGCTGACGAAGAAAAGGGAACACGAAACACTAGCGCCGACTCTCAACTGAACATTTATTCACATGCGCAGAACATCAGTATATACCCATGCGGGCTTCAAACAGATAACAAAACCGTACATAAATGTACTACAGCTGGTGTGAGCAACAAATGAAAATGAACAAATGAAAGAACAATGCATCTACCCATTCAATTATAGGATCTTTTTTTTTTTTTGCAAGGCTACAAACGAGAAGCTGAAGCATGCGGGAAGTGCACGTGGGGCACGAAGCACCCTCGAGGTCTTGATATATATTTCTCGTATGTAGCCTTGCTTTATCTATGACTTCACACCTAGTCGGTTAGTGAGTGCGGCAAGTTGGGTGGGTTGGTAAAGATGCATAACTTCGATTTCTTAGCGCAAATAATACGGTGACAAAATAAATATACGTCGACATGCGCTCATTTCGTCCACGTCTCTAGCTTTGTCTCCGTATTTTTCACGCTAGGAATTTGCAGTTATGCATGAGGTCCGTTAGAGAAATTTATGTCAATGTGGCCATTCGTCTTCGTTCATTTCGTCCGTTTTCCCTTTTCCGCACTTACGAAGTTTGTTTACCTATGAAGACCCATTTTAGGATAACATTATCGGGTGACAGTTAGGCGAGCTTAGCGAAACGAGAAAACACATTTATTTCAGTTTACTACTGGCGTGCCATCGTTCATGTCATGTGGCCACTCATCCTCGTTCACTTCTTCCGTTTTTTTCCTTTGCCGTACTCACGAAGTCAGTTTACCTATCAAGAGGCATTTTAGGGACAACATGATTGGGTGACAGCTTGGCTAGCTTATTGAAACGAGAGAACACCTTTATTTCACTTTCCTACGGCCGTGTCATCGTTCATGGTCATGTGGCCATTTATCGTCGTTCACTTCCTCCGTTTTCCTTCTTTTCCGTACTTACGAAGTCCGTTAACCTATCAATAGCCATTTTAAAGGTAACATGATCGGGTGACAGCTTAGCGTGCTTAGCGAAGCGAGAAAACACCTTTATTTCAGTTTCCTACTGGCGTGTCAGCGTTGCGTCGACCCAACAGTGCATGACGAGTATGCCGTATTCGACCAGGTTGTTGACTGGTTCGGCCGCGCCTGGGTCGAGCTCGGGCAGCACGGGCAAGGTGGTGCAGCTGGCCGAACCGCGCGTGTAGGTGCCGCACACCAGGCTGAACGCTTCTCCGAATATGTGCTCCAGTCGACCCATTATGAATTCCTTGGACTCGGCCGTGTTGTCGCAGTCGCCCAGCGAAGCGTCAACGCAGTCCAGCAGCTCACCGAAGTAGCTGCGTGTGTTTTTAATTATCATCAATGCATGACAACAACAACAACACAACAACAACAACAACAACAACAACACAACAACAACAACAACAACAACAACAAACAACAACAACAACAACAACAACAACAACACAACAACAACAACAACAACAACAACAACAACAACAACAACACAACAACGACAACAACGACAATACAACAACAACAACAACGACAACAACAACAACGACAACAACAACAATAACAATAACAATAATAATAACAATAACAATAACAATAATATAATAACAACGGTAAGAGTAAGAAAGAACAAATACTGCGATCAAGCTATTCAGGTTGCTGTACTTTGCCTGCCTAAGCCACTGCTGACTTCTGAGGTTATTAACTAGCGACTTCTTATGCAATATTGGTCGCTTAACTGCAAGGAAAAAAATTACCTTGCCTTCTGAAATACAACACAAGTATGGAAAATTAAAGTATTGTTGCCGAAGCACGTATGAAAAGGCGTTTTATCCAGTATGACTGAAGTTACGACTGCCTTACCATGTTGAATAATTGTATCACTAATACTGTGGAACATTACTATAACCTAAATGTTTAAAATAAGTTTTCACGTTCCCATTATGTCCTGATATTGACTATTTATCTGAGAAAAAAAGTGACATAGACGTAAACCTCCTCCTAGTTGTAAACGAAGAAAGCACCACCAATAAAAAGAAAAAAATGGCCTCCTTTTCCGGAATACATCTCTTGTATTAGATACTAATGTATAATTGCAGAAACACATATGCATAGGCGTTTTATTCAATTAATGAAGTTGAGGCTTCAATCAATTGCAGAATAGTTGTAATGATAATAAAGAGCGTTATTACAACATTACCAACATTTAGAATGCACTTCAACATGCCCATCGATGTCTTGTTATTGAATATTTATTTCGAAGAAGTGATATAAACGCATTGTGACATCCCGCATTATGAATAAAGAAAACGCCAACCCAGATGTCGACCAGCAAAAAAAAAAAAAAAACAGCTTCGTACTAGGAGTGCAAAGCGAGGATGCAGTGTATGTCTATACAACCTTATTTCTCAATTTGTATGCGAAAAATATGGGAAGATAGGCTATGTTAGAGCTGGCTATACCATTGTATTGGTAGTAGTATACAACCACACGCGAAGATTCTTTGTTTGTGTTTTTTTTTCTCCTGTTCTATCCTGTCTCGTTTTCCAGTTTCTTTCTGACTTTTCTCTTCTCTGTATTTCCACTGAGTTCAGTTTTGCTTTTCTGCTGTCTTCCCTTTTCTCTTTCAATCTCATGTTTGCTTCTTTGTTTGTTTACACGCAGATTTGCTTGCGTAACGCCAAACATCGAGTACAGCATACGACAGCCGGCACCCCCAAATCTCTCCGCGCTTAACATGTTCGTCAGATGGTGTCTGCTGCTATGGACATTGTTCGGACCAGCGATACCGTCGACGCTTCTATCTTGAGGAAGAAAAAGGGATCCAAGGGCTTCTTGAACGTTTTTTTTCGCTCTGTAAACTTCGAAATGCACCTCAAGCTTTTCGAAACACAGGCGCAATTAAAATCTGTGAGCTGAAATAAATCAATCATAGCAAGCAGTGAAAAGCCAATGTGGAACGTAGGGGTGAGAGTTTTCTATGCACACACACACACACACACACACACACACACACACACACACACACCACCACACACACACACACACACACCACACACACACCACACACACGCACGCACACACGCACGCACGCACACACGCACACACACACACACACACGCGCACGCACGCACGCACGCACGCACGCACGCACACACCACACACACACACACACACACACACACACACACAATTATCTGGCACCACCTTCACCGCTTCTGTTGTTCATTTTTGGGCAAGTTCACTTGGCTACCACAGTGAGCAAGCCGATGTATTCATGTTGAGGAACTGTCATGCAAAGATCTAGACAAATTCTTTTGGAAGGCAAGGTTTCAGCTTTTGAAGTAGTATGCACCCTGGCCTGATAAGCACAGTACAAATTACATTGCACTGAATCATGTGATTGTCAGACTTCTATTGCTTGCGAAGGGGCGCAATACCCGCTTCCATAAGGACCATAGTGCGCGCCATCTTAGTGCAATAGGGTCTTTCGCGAATATATTTCAATGAGCGACCATTGGAAATTGAGCTGACAAGTGTAGCTACGGGTAATTTCTGACAATCAAGTTTAAGCAGGTGCCAAATACGGCATAGTTTCAAGAGAGAAAGAAAAAAATGAAGGAAAGGCCGAGAGGTTAACAGAAACAGGAGAATCCGGTTCGCTAGCCTGCTCTAAAAGAAGAGGATGATGAAGAAAAACGAGAAAAAAAAAAACGAAGAGCGAAATAGACGCCTGAATGTCTATTGTGAGCTGGGGTGTTACAGCGATTCAATAGGCCACTACCCCGCAAAAATTCGAATAAGGCCACCACTGATTTTCTGTGGGAAGACAGATTATGTCGCCTTTCAAGCACTGACTGTTGTGACAAGAGTCTGTCGTCAAGACGAGCTATTGCAGCAGGTTCCCATACCTTAAAGGGACACAAAGTAAAACAGTTATGTGATTTACATTTATCAACTGTTCTCTAATAGCTTCACTATCATAAGTTATTTTAGCTGAGAAATTCAGGGTTATAGTCTAATTTTTAAATTTAGCGCCGAAGTCACCACGCGTGACGTCACAAATTTCAGTGGTTTTTTTTTTCAAAATTTTGATGACATGAGCTTTCAAAATTTTTGTTTATCTTTGTACATGAGGCCCAAGGCCCCCCCAGATAACAATGTTTTTCATTTTCATTCATGAGAAACTTTTTATGACCCAGCAGACGCCTTGAAAACCTATGAAGTCATGGTGTTGGTGTGGGAAACCGAAGGCGCCCTCTCTGCCCGCAATTTTTTTCTCGCTTACCAAGCATGGTCCGTCGATAAGGGCAATGTTTTGAGACTGTAAAACTGTACTTTACTAATACGCTAAAATCTTTATTTTTAAATCTCCCTTCAAGACTGTAATGTGGCTACCTACCAGCAGCATAATGTAGCCAACGAAGAGAGACATCAACGAAGGTTTTGATGAACCGTTCCTACCAACGGAACGGTTCTTTTAGGGGCGAAGCTCCTTAACACCTAGCCTTGTCTTCTGTTGTGCTGACGGTATATAACCGATGCTTTAGTGGGAACATATGTGAGTCACACAAAAGAAAGGTTTTACGCCAAGCTTCAATGTAGACATCAGCTAAATATGCAGGCAAGAGATCGTTGTTCTCGGCCAACATAATACGTTGAGAGGGGTATTGAATAGTTGATCTCTACTAAAGTGTTCCTATAGATGATGAGACTTGTGAAGGAAACCTGTAACATAAAAACACACGTCGGGCAGTATATGTTTCAACGAATTATGTACAAGTAAATGATACCTTGTCAACCTGGGGGGTTCGAGAATTCACTTTCAAGACATACACTTCTCTTCACATTTTCATAAATCCTCCTTGAATCGCCTAAGACGAGTGAAAGACTAAGTTAATTTACATTTATAGATAAACTTTGTGCCACTCATTTCCATATGCGGTATGATGCACGGGTAAAACACGGTCACTCACCAATACACCCAGAGTTTCACCGACTCTTCATGATTCACTTCGTGGAGATGCGCGAATTTTTTTCCTTAATTTTAATATTTTCTGAGTGTTTCGTACTTTGAAGACCGCAACTTAAACTTATAATGAATGTCCCGCATCTCTTAATTACTGTTATCATCTTCTAGTTTCAATACGCTGTGTCTAACAAACATTAGCCCATGATGAACTGCACTTCTTTCGTATACATACCAGCAGGCGTGATAGACAGCTTGGTTGGGTGCTGCTTTTTCAGTGGCTTTCTGCAAATTCCTGAACATGTTGCGGACGCAGACGTTGAGCTTGGGGCCGGCGGCGTTCCCACAAGGTGAGCTCTGGAGGTACACTGCAGGGGAACACGATTTGTACAATAATTAACTGTTCTCGAAAAGCCAGTAACGTACTCTACTCATTGATCCCTGAATGAAACATAGAAGGAAACTCCTTCTTATTTAACCACCTCCACCAACGCAACTTGCGGAAGTGCGCTACTCTACGATTGTTTCGTTAGGACGGCTAGCCATAGCATAAATATAGGGCTTCATGAAGTTCTAGGAACTACACTTCGATGATGTTTATGGGTCTTGAAATAGAATGGAACGCAAAAGTTACGAAAGGCATCTATCCCCTAGCAACAAAATACTCTTCAAGCAAAATAAAAAAATGCACAAGTGTTTGCTTGTGAAAAAGTGTGGGTCAGCGTAATTGAAGAGGCGTTCTCACCCTCTCTGGGAACTTAGCACTGTTTAAAGTTTCACATCGCCAAAACACTTACAATCAGACGCAACGGGGTTGGCGTTATGGTACCCAATTTCTTTCAGTGCTGCCCGCTGCATCCTATCACGATTACTTTGCAAGGAAGCACTCAGTACTTGTTGCATGTTTGCAATGCACGAACGCGCAATGACGGTGCTTTCTGGAGTTATGGAGAGAAACTGTATAGATGTAATAGGTTCGATGTTGGTGCACATGAAAGTGGCATCGTGCGCAGAAACAATGCTTGCCCACATCTAATGCCTCCAATTCACGGCTTCCGGCACACCGTATTTACTGCATCGTTTCGGTGCCTTTTGGTCTCTGGCGTGTAGCTACGTAGCTGAAAGAGGTGCGCCATGAACATAGTTTACAAAGAACTCTAGATAGGTGTTCATTCTAGCTTTCGCTGTGACTATGTTGCGTGTTCCGCTCAAGCCTGGTGCTAGGTGAGATGCACTTCAGTGACTGTGGTTGGCATACATTATTCAGCTCACTAGGAGTGAGGACACTCATACTTACGCGCTCAGTATGTCCCATATCAGGGCTACGAGTGTACATATACCAGGGTTAAAATTGACTAAATTATATTACGCAGAAATATCCAAGAGGTCGCCGCAATAATTATCGGAGTATATTTTAAACGTTTCGGATACATTGGGCTGACTCAATAGGGTGGAGAGAGGGGGCGCCACCACATTGCCGAGCATGAAGTTTCTAGAAAAAAATGGCCACGTATCTGTATGTTAATCTGCAAATGTCGTCGAAAGACGATAGTCTTGCGTGTGGAGAGAGTGAACAAAACATTTATTTGATGTTCTGCGCAAGAAAATCGGTGAATGGTATTCTAGAGGCGCTGCGTTAGAGTGCCTCGAGCGTGCAGCGGAGGCGAACGAGCGCATCAAGTCACGTCACACGTGAGACATGAGCGCCATCTGGCAGTTTTCTTGGAAAACGAAGCGCGTGGCTCTGAGACGGGTGTGCGCGCCGTCTCCTCAAGCAGTGGCATCATTAACACTAGGCGAACGGAGCATTGGGAAGTCTACGATACACTTCCGCATACGTTTCACTGTGGTTGAGCTGCCATTGTTGATGCTGTAGCCGAATATGGTGAAGAATAAGAAGTTTGCATTTCGTGACCAGTTCGACGTGTTACAAGCCCACTCGTTACTTAAGTAATATTGTGCGACGCCTGGTTGTTATTTTCGTCTTCTGCTACCCTACAGTCGATCCCTCATGTCACACGGGTTTTAGCAATGTATCGGTCATAACACTAAAAAGCTGGTGCCCCGCCAACGTTTGTAAGTTGTCCATGGTGAAATAACCGGCTAAAGGCAATGCCCACATGCCGCAATAAAGGTTATGACTATGAAGTATGGTTCTTGGGAGTCTGTGCTCAAAGGAATTAGAACGCAAAATCTTTGAAAAAAAAACGTATTGCAGCTACCCTACTGTGAAACCTAAGGAAGTTCATCACACGAGCACCCAGTTCATGGAGTTAGTTACCACTGCTCCGTTCACCAAGGCGTCAGTGAATGACGCCAATGTCTGAGGTGAGCAAAGCATAAAGGATTTCCCTGACGTCAGCAGGTTCTTGCTAGGCTGATTCACACACTCGGTGTGCGAAATGTGCGTTATTTTTTGCTGCACAATATCGGCTTCCGTCGGGTTGTTTTCCCCACCAGATGTAGTTACCTATAGCGACAACCACCGCGAAAGCGCAGCGAGGAAGAAGGCATTCGCCCGCTCGGCCTGGCAGTGGTGCCTTCTGTCGCAGCCCACAGAAGTCAGCCTGTCTTGGCGAAACATATTAGGGATTTTAAGATAATTATTGTGACTACTTTTTGACTATTTCGGATAAATATATTATTCCAGACATTGTTCGTTTATTTTAACCCAGGTTTGCGCACTGCCAGCTTTATTATGACCTGTAGTGAGAACTTCACTTTGAGCTTGATCACGTCCAGTGAGAGACTTGTATGAACGACAAATCGGAATCTTTAAGTGCCCAGCACTTAAAAAAAAACAAGAAGTTTAAATTACTGAATTACCGCTCGAAACCCTAACGTCCCCGAGTGCTCCTACTAAGTTTTTATATGCTTTGCCGTTTAGAAGGTGCAAATTGCGGCAAAGGCAAAGGTGGCTGTGGCATGAGAGTGATAGAGGCTTCTCTGTTAACGCTTTTTTGGACAAGGAATTCAAATGAAATGCTGAACCTTCGAAATATATCTGTGTCTAAAACTTCGGACGTTGTCATACATCGGCTCAACGGGGCTAATGGTGTTCCTGTGAAAGCGGCAGGATTTTCAAGCATGATCGAAGATTGGCAGCTTTGTCGTTCTTATCACGGATATCTATTCACAGATATCATCCAATGTGAGATTTTTCGCACAATAGCCAGCCGTACCTCTATTTTGCTTTTGTGAAACCCGTTTGTAGCAAATATCGATATAACAGCGAAATTTTAATGACACTTGGGTGTTGTTAAAATGGGTTCCACAGTGATGCCCGCTGTAACGCGATTCCCTGTCCGACAAAAAAGCTGTATAGGACCTCTTCACAAAGCAGTTTCGAGCGTTGGTGTCACTTCGTTGTGGAATGCTCCAATATCACGCTAAGAGCCCCATGTTCAAGTTTCATGTGGTCCTAGCTATTCTCTTTTCTTTTTTTTTCTAATGTTTGTTCATTCCCTGCTATAGCCGTTGCGAACACAGACAGTGAGGGCAGCGGCGGACAATTACGGTACGAAAACACACTGTTGTTGGGTGCGCATAAAAGTTTTTGATTTGGAATGATGGAGTGCGCAAGGAACAGATTACATCACTAGCGAAACTATCGTGACGCTGTTAGGATATCATGTAGCCTCCATGTAGCCCAATACCGACGTCATGAAACATTTAGTTGTTGTTTGGCGACGAGATTTGCCCAAGTGGGTGGTTTGAGTAAAATTATAGGATGGGCTTACATCTTTCCATCTCGTTGCCCTCGGTACAGACGGCCTCGAAGTCTTCCTCGGCTGCCTTGAGGACCACCATGCAGGTTCCGCGTGTGGTGCCATCTAGGCAGTCGTCGATGTACTTCAGGGAGCACTCTATTTGAGAAGTCCACAACCTGAAACCAGCATGGACGCATTTGACGCGGATATTCTTTAAAGTCACCATGGTTTGCGAAACTTCTTCCACAGCATCTCTCCCTTTACGTGTGTAGCAGTGGCCTCCAAGTCGCTTCAGTGGGCGGGCCACAGTCCCCAAATTTAGTCCCACAATGGCAGGGACACTGAAGATGGTGTGAGTGCTCTCGAAGGGGGTGGGGGGGGGGGTTGTTACTAAACATTGCCATTTGTAACAGCACTTTTCCCATATACGGTAGACCGGTCATTTCTGAACGGAGTAAGACGTTAGTCAAGAGATCAACAGGGATTTTCACGACGACTACATTTTAAATACCGATTCTCAAGTATAACTAAATACTTAGTTCCACAGTGCTTTGTGGGTACTTTCGTCGTATGGAAGCAGTATAACGGTGTTTATAATAGCCTTTGGTTGCACATTGCGTCAGTCGCAGTTAATGAATTTTTATGTACGCTCATTCTTTTTTTTCGTATCGTAATTATGAAATGCATACTGATGTGCCCAGAATTGTCTGAGCATTAATTATTCATCTTAAACGAATATCAGTGTGACGAAAACAGGGACGGGAAAGAAAAGACAAACTACAGCGCTGACTCGCAACTAAAGTTTATTCCTAAAAGCAGCGGAATATAACATCTGAAAAAGCAAATCAAAAACAAGAAAGAACCATCGCGCAAGTTCAAAGCGACAAAACTCTGCAAAAACGCTATATGTGTGGCAGATGAAACGCGCAAGCTATCTGTGAGATATAAAACTTCTGCACCTGATAGGGTTAGGGAAGGCTAGGTGTTGCAATTATCACCTTCCAGTGACATATAAAAAGCTTGCAGTATTTCGCGGGACCGTTGGTCTCTGTGGTGATGTAAAATTTTCGTCTTATCAAAATAAGAATTACACCCCTTAATTTTACAATGAATGGCCAAATGAGAACCTGTGCCATCTTTACATTACGTGTATGCTCCTGGATTCTTATATTGACGCTTCGACTAGTTTGTCCAATGTAAGCATTGTTAGAAAAACATGGTATCTTGTATACTGCATTGGTTCGACACTCAATGAATTCACCCTGAAGTTTTATCGCAAATTTTTTCTTGTGTCGTGATGAGAAAATCATACACAAGAAAATTGTTAACACATATATTGTGCGGTGGAAGCATAGGCTCCCGCCAGGCACCAAAAGCGTGAATTGAGCAACCAGTGGGTGTATTGAAAGCCAATATATTACAAAACACCCCGACATGTTTAATGATCACGAGCAGCAGCAGAACCAGTGAACAACTGTGTAGGTTTGTATGTTGTCCTACGAACGCGTAGTCATTCGTTGATTCTCAAAGGAAATAATTATGAAACAGAGGGCTCTTAACAACTGCACTTGCAATTGGCAATTAATGTTACATATAAACGGCCAATGTTGTGCACACAATTGTTCCTTTCAGTACGGCCCAGTCGAGGTACACACCGAAAACCAAAGTGGGCTGGTAGTTCCGAAGGCGATGCTCACGACGCCCCATTACGCAATTGCGATCTACTCTTAAAGGTGAAGCTCAGACGTCCTCCATTGTTTCAATAAAATCTATACTGAATGTCAAATATACAATTGGCAATGCATATGCACCTAAACATCCCATAACACATTGCAGAAATGGGACCTCTTGTTTGAATATGGCAGTGCTATAGGAATGTCGAGCAGCAATATTCAGCAATTAGTTGTAAAAATGAAAGCAAAAGATATTGAATAAATATCATGTGTCGCAACAATAGAGTGCGCACAATCAACAGGTAAAAGTTTGCAAAATTGAAGTCATTATTAAAACACGCGTCGCCTTAGAGTGTGCGATAATATCGAAACGATCACTTTTAAATTCTCCTATTTACTACTACGGCATTTAATTACCATTGTTCAAAACTGAAAGAAAAACTAATTTAGGGGCTGTATGTTCGCCATTTCTTACGTGTTTGAATGCGACGCATCCGATTCGGCACGCCAAAAAAAGCTTCACACAAGCATTAAGATAGGCCCCGAAATGTGCAAGGGAAGCGATTATTAAAACTCACTGGCATGCTTGTCGAAGTTCCTCGGTAGTTTCCGCAATTCTCGTGGTGTTGGCGTAGAGAACGAAGTTTGAACCGCATGCTCGTAGACGTTCTTTGCTGCAGTCTCGGTTCTCCTCAGCATGGCACAAGACTGGTGCATGAAAACCCAAGAGTGGGGTTTTGCTAGTCTCCCTGACCTTCTGGTACGTAAGCACAGTTAGCATTATGTCTTTCAACGATACTCTAATAATTATCATTTCTGTGCACTGCGCTACTCATGAAAACAAAACGAGAAGCAATCAACCCCATCTTTTAAGAGTGGCCTCACGAACAAATCAGGTTGATGTTGGTTATGGTGGTTAAGAACAAACAGAATTTCTTTCGCCGTTCAAACGTCTCCTTCAAGAGGATCTCTATGTTCATGAACGCCCTGCTATAGAACGATCGGCTCAGTGAAAGGAGTGGATTTTTGTATAAACTACTATTGCACATGCACTAGGTACTTTCATTACGCAACGCAGTATTTTTGCTTGGTAAAAAAAGCTACAATGTTGCATAATGTGTCTACCCCAACCTCACAAATTTTTCTCCGTTGGATACGGGACCATTCCACTTGACATTCAAATACCGTTGTAGTCCTAACCTTCAAGACTATGTTAAATCATTGGTTGACTTCTAAGACTAGTGCGACGAGAAATACGGTATTCACTGGCACAAGATTTTTGAACCTATGTGGGCTAATAAAACATGTTTAAAAGGAAGACAGCGCAATCAAACTTCTTTCAGAACTCTGCAGCATAACTTGACAGTACAACAAAGCAAACTCTCAATATACAAGTAAACGTGCATGCCTTGACAAAACGGACGTGCTGAAAGAATGTACAGTTTCTTAGCCAGAGAAGACCGACTGATGTGATCACTATGCTGAGAGACGTATTATGGCATTACCAAATGCGAGTGCGAGCAATGGAATTGCGAGGCGGCGAAGAAAGTGGTTGGTGGACATCTTGTTGAGCAGGCCAAAACTGCAAGGAGGAAGCAACTCCACTTGTTGTTGCGACGAGGATATCGGTCAGTCTCTGGATCCTCGTTCAACCTGGGTTGACCCTGAGCCACGAAAGAAAGCCCACACATGTTAGCATCACTGGGTGGCCTCAGTTCACTGCACGTTAATCACTTCCTCGTGGTTGTACAACAAGCAATTGCGCCATTGGCGCTGCATGATTAAGCACTACAGAGTGCGTCGAAGGGGAAGAAAAGTTGGCATATTTCTTTTTTGTTGTGCAAAACGTTTCGTTTCGTTCGCACGTTTTGCGTAGTGTTTAGCAAAGGTCATAAAACATATTGGCCCAACAGACTCATCATCATCATCATCAACACCAGCCTGATTACATCCACTGCAGGACATAGGCCTCTCCCATGTTCCGCCAGTCAACTCGGTCATATACAGTCCAAAGCCCGTATACTAAAGCGATGATTATACTATGCTATAGATATATACAAGTAGCTTTGAATGTGACTTCACAAAATTTAGCTCGCTCAAGAGATGATGTTAATTGCTGCTTTAAAAATTCTTTTTTCCCGTATAGTATAGAAGTGTGGAATAGACTTCCAGAGTACGCTGTTACTAGCGCAAATGTCAAAGAGTTTGAGTGTTCGCTAGAATTGTACTACCGGCAACATGAAACGTAATGTCTGTTTTGTCATTGTGTATTGTTTTTGTTTTGTATTTATATTCCTCTCTGTAATGACCCTCAAGTGAGGGTTACAGTATTAATAAATAAAAATAATATAAAATAAAACTGTAATTGCACTTCTAAGTTGATTTACTAGGATGTCGGATGATGAGTCATGCGTGAGACAACACATTTAAACGCAAAATGCAATACCAGCCTCATGTAGAATTATGCCGCTCCGAAGCTGCAGTTAACTGTTTCTCTAGTCACAGGTCTCATACTGAACTACATCGAAATGACAAAAGTAAAAAGGACATGGGAAACCCTTTTGCTTCTTGTTATAGATCTATCCAAGATGTTCTGATTTTAATGTCAGAATAAGCTTTTGCGTAGTACTTGTAAGTCTGCTTAATTTTTGTAAGTGACCCATAAAAATTGGCCCTGTATCTGCATGTCAATCTGCAAATGTCGTCGAGAGACGATAGTCTTGCGTCTGGAAAGGGTGAACAAAACGCTTATTTGATGTTCTGCGCAAGAAAATTGGTGAATGGTATTCTGTAGGCGCTGCGTTAGCGTGCCTCGAGTGTGCAGCGGAGGTGAACGAGCGCATCAAGTCACGTCACACGTTTGACACGAGCGCTATCTGACAGTTATCTCGGAAAACAAAACGCGCGGCTCTGAGACGGGCGTGCGTGCCCGTCTCAGAGGTGATAAGGTGTAGAACGCAAGGCGACGGGTAGGTGCCACCATCGTGTCGTCTTAGCAAAGCATTGGAAACACTTCCCTTTTCGTGCAAGCGTTGCGTGGTCAGCGCCACGTGATAAACGCTACGGTCCTTAAAGTTACTTATGCATGTCTTTTCTAGTAAAAGACGCACATGCAGAATGTATAAGTGTTGTTATGGTGCCTCAGATATGCACGATAATTGCTTTTTAATTGACAATCGCACAAGTGTGAACGCTGAATCTTGAGCAACATTGGCGGGTGTTGCGGATGGGGTCGGTCGTTAGGAGTATCGGCTGGTGCTGTTCAGAGTACGAGGTATCGTTAAGGGTAGACAAACAGACAGACAGACAGAAATATTGGCTTCAAAGGTGTCCAAGAAGACTATCGTCTTTGAAAGCAATAATTGTGCATATCTGAGGTGCCATAACAACATGTCGATGCTTTGTACGTGTGCCTTTATACTAGGGAAGGTACACACAAGTAATTCTAAGGACCACAGCGTTTATCACGCTGCGCTGACAGTGCAACGCGATCCTCTAAAAGGCAAGTGTTTCCAACGCTTTGCTAAGATGACAGAGTAGTGGCACCTGCCGATCGCTTTGTATTTTACTCCTTGTCGCTTACGAGACAGGCACGCATCTTTCTCCGCGGGTGTTCAAGCCTTCTTTCGTTTTCGACGATGACTGTCGGATGGCGCTCGTGTGTAACGTGCCTCGATGCACTCGCTCGCCTTCGCTGCACGGATCGAGACTCTCTAACGCAGCGCTCTCAGAATACAATTCACCAATTTTCTCGCCCAGAACCCAAATAAACATTTTCTTTACTCTTTCCACACGCAGGACTATCGTTTTTCGACGACATTTGCAGTGAAACATGCAAATACGGGACCAATTTTTTTCACGGTTCTTGAGCCCACTGATCTTTTTGAGACACTTCCCTGATGTCGGCCTAACCTTCCATATGCAAACTCGCTGTGACCGTATGTGCGAAAACAGCCGACGCATGCACGATACTCTCCTCTCGTGAGCCGTCGTGACCTGGGCGTCCAAAATAACGAACTCTGTCCTGCGTCACAGTATCACAAAGGCCACGCAAAAGGTATTTTCGAAACTCATTAGTAAAGGACATTGGCTCTCTTGGTATCCTGTGGGAGGACAGAGCAATACAGACACGAAAACTGTTCATACGGTTCTTTGCTACTGGTCTGAAAGATTCGGGTGCAGCCCCTGTCATGCTGGTGAAATGGCGATGGATGTAAGTGTCAGATGTTGTAGTATTTAGCGATGTCAGTGCACGAGAATGAAGCTTAGGCGGCCGATATATGTAAAATTCCTCCACTAAACTGCGCCTCTCGTAGACTTGAGTTACATTGGGATGTTGAACACTGTAAACCAATTCTCGCTACAGTTCCGTTCTGTTAATGATGATAACTGATAAGGTTTAGCGTTCCAATACCACCATATGATCATGCTAGACGCCGTAGTAAAGAACTCCAAAAGTTTTACCACCTATAGGGTGCCCCCATGGCCTCCACCAAGGAATATAAGGGTGATGGGAGAATCCCATAGACTATCCTACTTTCTCCGGTGTAAGCTCTATGCATGTGAGCATGCAACACGTATTTAACCACATCAATCTACTCGCATTATAGTATACGTATTAAAGAACTGGTCTTCGTTACACTTTGTCTCGGCGGGCCATGACATGTCCAGTTATTGATCAGTAAACTCGGGAAAATGAACAAACGAAGGCGTTCATTCACATTAAGAGCCTATAGGTTGTACTGTGAAAGGGCATACTGCAATGAGTCATACCTCCAGGGGACTGAACGCCGTGGCTGCTCCAAAGAACAGAAAAGCTTTCAAGGATGTCGCCGTCTGGCAGTTTTTTCTGAAAACGAAGCGCGTGGCTCTCAGACGAGGTGTGCGCGTCCGTCCAGGGGTGATAAGGTGTTGACACAAGGCGACGGGTAAGTGCCACCGCCGTGTCGTTTTAGCAAAGCATTGGAAACACTTTCCTTTTCGTGCAAGCGTTGTGTGGTCAGCGCCACGGGATAAACGCTACGGTCCTTAAAAGTACTTATGCATGTCTTTCTAGTAAAGGGGACCACATGCAGAATGTAACGTGTTGTATGGTGGCCGCAGATATGCACGATAATTGCTTTTTAATTGACAAATCGCACAAGGGGAACGCTGAATCTTGAGCAACATGGTGGGTGTGCGGATGGGGTTGGTCGTTAGGAGTATCGGCTGGTGCTGTTCAGAGTACGAGGTATCGTTTAGGGTAGACAGACAGACAGACAGACAGACAGACAGACAAACAGACAAACAGAAAGACAGACAGACAGACAGGCAGACCGAAATATTTGCTTCAAAGGTGCCCATGAAAGACTATCGTCTTTAAAAGCAATAATTCAGCATATCTGAGGCACCATAACAACATGTCGATGCTTTGTATGTGTGCCTTTATACTAGAGAAGGCACACACAAGTAATTCTAAGGACCATAGCGTTTATCACGCTGCGCTGACAGCGCAACGCGATGCTCTAAAAGGCAAGTGGTTTCCAACGCTTTGCTAAGGTGACAGGGTAGTGGCACCTGCCCATCCCTTTGTATTTTACTTCTTGTCGCTTCCGAGACAGGCACGCATCTTTCTCCGTGGGTGTTCAAGCCTTCTTTCGTTTTTGAAGATGACTGCTGGATGGCGCTCGTGTCTAACGTGCCTCGATCCACTCGTTTGCCTTCGCTGCACGGATCGAGACTCTCTAGTGCAGCGCTTTTAGAATACAATTCACCGATTTTCTCGCTCAGAACACCAAATAAACATTTTCTTTACTCTTTCCACACGCAAGACTATCGTTTTTCGACGACATTTGCAGTGAAACATGCAGATACGGGGCCATTTTTTTTCACAGTGCTTGAGTACACTGATCTTTTCGCGACACTTCCCTGATATCGGCCTAACCTGCCGCATGCAAGCTCGCTGTGAACGCGTGTGCGAAAACAGCCGACGCATGCGCGATAGTCTCCTCTCGTGAGCCGTCTTGACCTGGGCGACCAAAAGAACGATTTCTGTCTTTTGTCACAATATCACAAAGACCGCGCAAAAGGTGCTTTCGAGACTCATTAGTGAAGGACATTGGCTCCCACTGTTTCCTGCGGAAGGACACAGCATTACAGACACGGAAACCGTTCATACGGGTTCTTTGCTGCTGGCCCGAACGATGCGTGTTTAGTCCCTATCATGCTGATGAAATGGCGATGAATGTAAAATGTCAGATGTTGTGGTACTTAGCGATGTCAGTGCACGAGAATGAAGCTTAGGCGGCCGACATTTTTAAAGTTCCTCCACTAAACTGCGCCTCTCGTAGACTTGAGTTACATATGTTGAACACTGTAAACCAACACACGCTACAGTTCCGTTCTTTTAATGATAATAACTGATATCGTTTAGCATTCCAACACCACTATATGATCATGCTAGAAGCCGTATTAGAGGACCGAAAATTTTAACACCTAGTGATCCCCTATGGCCTCCCCCATGGAATATAAGGGTGATGGGAGAAGCCCACGCACTATACTACTTTCCCCAGTGTAAGCTCTATGCATGCAAGCACACAACGCTTATTTAACCACTGCAATCTACTCGCATTACAATATACGTATTGAAGAAGTTGTCTTCGTTACGCTATCACTTGTCCAGTGATTGATCTGTAAACTCAGGAAATCGAACAAACGAAGACATTCATTCTCATTAGGAGCCTAGGTTGTACTGGGAAACGGCACGCTGCAATGAGTTGTACCATGGTCCTTCAATATTTTTTCTGGTCATGAAACTCCCGCGTCACTCAATGGGAGAGCTTCATATACCGCCCGCACTTTCCGCGCCGCGGCGCTGGCGTAGCTAGACGGGGGACGAGGAAGCCGGTAAAGCCGGCCCGGCCGGCTGCTCTGTTGGCCGCCATTAGCGGACTGTTGGCGCGGAGTTGTGGTGGTCGTGCTGATCGCCCCCCTTTTTAGCTTTTCGCGGTCGCATCGTGTTGACAGCGATGCCCAACACCTGCTGCGTGCCGGGCTGTCATTCTGGATACAAGGGCACCGTCGAAAAAGTTTCCCTGTTCTGTTTACCAGCCAACGCAGAACAACGCGTCAGGTGGAAACGTGCGATCCCGCGACAGGAGACTGCCGGATTTTCGTTCGAATCAAAGTACGCTCGCGTGTGTGAAAAACATTTGAGGTGATTTTCTGGAGCGTCAGCCTTGGTCAGCCCATATATTCCTTAGGCACCCCCTTCCCTCCAGGTCCACGCGTGAGTCAAGGCTATCGATGTTATCGTTCTCCTGCTACTTATCTCTCACTCTTATTCGGCCTGACTGCGACGTGTGCGTCGCGTCTTGCCCTTTTGAGTGGCTTTGCCGAAGCATTTTTTTTGTTTAGGTCAGGCTATATTACGTAACCCGTTTTTTTTGTCGTTGTTTACCACTGAGAGTAAATAACAATAAGTGGGCGCCAGAGATAAAGGTTTTATTCTTTGTCAAAGCTTTTGCGTTTTTCGCTCACTCTATACCTCACCAAGTGGCCCAATGAGCAGGCTCATCTGCAGATGAATTTTTAAAAACAAACAAATATAACATAGTGCGTACACCACATACTTTTTCGTTTAATTTGTTGAGCCAAATGTATTTGTCTGCGTTTTGCAGTCATCACCTTTCTACTCCAGACCATAGACGGCGTGAAAAAGTGGCAACATATCCACACAAGAAACCGTTCAATATATGAAGCATAATTTGTATTACTTAATGGCAGCCCGATAGTTCTATTCGCGAACAATATTTATGCGCACCAAGCCCACCATCTCTGATTTGTTTTTCTCTTTTGTGCCAGTCAACCAAATGAAATATAGGTTAAAACAGTCCCTACTGTAGATACCTCCGTAGCAGTTGTCTTTGCACTGATGGTCATTTTCGGATACTGTACTTGTAAGCGTATCTCCTTTTAAATATTAGTGACACAGTTTCAACAGCAGAACTGTGAAGCACACCATGAAAACGTCTCTGCTCAGCAAAAACCTCACTGCGCCATTGCCCAGCCACCGACGTAGCCACAGTTGCGCACCACATGCCATAACCTAGCCAAGCCGCGCATACGCCGAAGCAGTCGTTACGGAAAGATGCCGCCGCTAAGCCGGCTAGGCCACACCCACCGAGTAGAACATTCCACGTATCTGGTGTGCCTAGCTACCACAGCAGCTCGTGTGAAGTCATGAAAGCCAAGTGTAGACCGGGGCAACAGCTGGTCCCACAAAGGTTGTCCCCATGGAGGATCAATCCTTGGTGAAGATGCGAGGTTTGCGGATCACGGGACAAAGACGTCATGATCAAATTAGCGAGTAGGCGTGTCCTGTCTACGCACGAGGGTGACGAGGGGCTTTATGACTGAGGGGAGAAACCCCGTGGTAGGGTGTGTAGGAGAGTTTCAGGCGGGTGTTTGGACACGTTATTGCAGTTGCTCCTGCAGAGAGCGTCAGTGTGTTGGTGCTCGGTCATCAGCAGCGAGTGAAACAGTTTACACAAGCCATCAGAGCAGTCTGGTAACACTGGAATCTTCCCGTGCATTCGCTTCGTCCGTGTGAGCAGGGGACATTTGTAGGGAGTCCCTAGGCTCCACTTTTATCCCCTGATGATTTGTCCCCATGTGAATACCTCTGGAGGTACCGTGGCGTCCAAGTAAGCACGCCCGCACTTTCCGCGCCGCGGCGCTGGCGTAGCTAGACGGGGGACGAGGAAGCCGGCCCGGCCGGCTGCTCTGTTGGCCGCCATTAGCGGACTGTTGGCGCGGAGTTGTGGTGGTCGTGCTGATCGCCCCCCTTTTTAGCTTTTCGCGGTCGCATCGTGTTGACAGCGATGCCCAACACCTGCTGCGTGCCGGGCTGTCATTCTGGATACAAGGGCACCGTCGAAAAAGTTTCCCTGTTCTGTTTACCAGCCAACGCAGAACAACGCGTCAGGTGGAAACGTGCGATCCCGCGACAGGAGACTGCCGGATTTTCGTTCGAATCAAAGTACGCTCGCGTGTGTGAAAAACATTTCGACGCCAGTGACATTGTACGTGCGGACGTGTGCACTGTGAACGGAGACATCGTTTCGCTGCCCCGAGAACGACCGAGACTGGTGGAAGACGCCGTACCAAGGATTTTTGAAGGTTTGCCTTCCTACCTCTCGAAACCAAAGCAGCGTTCGCGTGCAACGAAGGGCCCACCTCTAAAAAGGCCGCGAGAGCTTTCTCCGGATTGTGATGCGACAGTCGCGAATGCAGACGTCTCCAGTGCAGCCGACAAAGAAATCGAAGGTAAGTCTGGCACAAAGTTTGCAAGTATCCTACCCGCTCACCACGCTAACAAAATTCGCTCACTACGCTAACCAAATTGGTTCCTTCCCTTATAAATATTGCCCTTTCTCACTCTTTGCAGATGTTGTGAGAACTGAGAATCGCAATGGCTACGCTGATGCAGAGTGTCAAACAGAGGTCACCGTTTGTTCAGCGTCGGAGCTACAGAGAGTGAAGGCCCAACTTCGCAGCGTGAAGCAACAGCTTCAGTCATGTCAGCGGAAACTCACAAAAGCGGAGGCGCACGCGAATAGAAAGAATGGAGTGTATGCAGATATTCACAAGCTTTCAGACCGCGAGAAGCTCATTATAGACCAGTGCATCATGAAAGCAAATATGAAGTCTGCGAAAGCAGCACGGTAAGATCCGGTTTGTAAAGTTTGTGTGTGTGTGCAATTTTATGTGAAGTGCGATGTTCGGTGCGCATTCGTTTGCTTTCTGGATATTGACAGAAACTACTAAGTGAAGCCGTGGGACAAAACGCAATATTTTGTTTTACTTTGATGGTGCTGTTTGCTTGAGCTGTAGCAGAATCGTGACCACAAAAATTGCATTTTATTTATTGCAGGTATAAAAAGGAATGGCTTTACGATTGTTTACTGCTGAAAATCAAATCCACAGCAGTTTATACATTTCTTCACGAGAATAATTTTCTGCCTCTACCACACCCTCGCACACTCTACTCCTATCTGAAAAAATCTGAAGGCCGGCTTCGGATTTGATGAAAATTTATTTGACATCCTCAAAGACAAAGTGGAAAAGATTCCAAAGAGAGAACGGCGAGGTTTTTATCTTTTTTTTTCTTTTGCATTTGATTTTTCTGGACTCTAGGTAAAGAGCTGAAATATTTTTTTTTCTTTAGGTGTCCTCATGTTTGATGAGATGAGCGTGAGAAAGAGCCTTCACGTCAGGGAATCGGATATGGCACTGCTTGGAAAGGTGGACTTAGCAGAGCACACGAAGCCGACTGACCAAGTGAAAGATGGGGACCACGTGTTGGTGTTCCTTTTCCGACCATTCCTTGGTGGCTGGTCGCAGACTGTCGGAGCGTTTTGCACGTCCGGGGCTGCACCAGGATCCACTGTTGCCAAACTGATCCTGCAGTGCATTGTACTCCTATCGAATGCCGGCGTCATTGTGGAGGCAGTCACTTGCGATAACTCAACTTCGAACCGATCAGCACTGAACTCCTTGGGTAAATATTTGCAGTCATTATTTATTTTCAAGGTATTTAGTAAGTGATTTTAATAATAGAAATGCCTTTCTTTTAGGTGTCAGTGGTGATGTCACAAGAGTATCAACATCGTTTGAGCATCCATGTGACTCCTCCAAAGTCATTCAGGCTATAATTGACCCGCCGCACATCTTCAAGTGCATCAGGAATAACCTTTTGAAGGCCGGAAAGTTCCTGGTGCGTAAAACAGTTTAAGATAAGTCATCACAGTGCTCTGGCTAACTTTGTCTCACAGCCTTTTTATAAATGTAACAGTTGCCTGGTGACAAAGAAGTACAGCATTCCCACTTTGAAGCTCTGCTGGACTACGAGGAGCAGCAAGCTGGACTTCGGGCTGTGCCAAAGCTTACGAAAGCTCACATCAGCCCCAACGCTTTCCAAAAACTGAGTGTGAGACTTGCTGTCCAGGTAAGACATAACAGCTGCTCTAGCATGAGTCATTAATCAGTATGTGTAACAAAAAGTGGTGTTACGTCATGAAATACGCCATAAAACAGACTTAGCGGGCAGGCGTTTTTCTTGGAGAATATCCTTCGGCTCATAGCCTTGTAAAGATTAGTTGTATCCACTGGGTGTCCAAAGAAGGCAGAGGCCTGGATTTCCAGGTCAAAATGATTAAAAAATAGCCAAGAATTTGAAAAAGATATAGCCAAACAGCAGCTATATTGAGCCAACCACAAGTTGACCAAGGTATCCAGGCATAAGTGAAAAGAGCTGTCACGTTTGAATAATTTTGGTTGTAATGTACGCAAGTACGGAAAGACCCTTAAAAATAGCGATAGCGGGGATTGAACAGTGAATTCATAATTTTAGCTATAATTTTTTTGCGCGATGACTAAGTGTTTCACGCTGGCTAATAGAAACGACACTTTCTTCATGCCTCTAGCATGATTGTTTTGTAGAATGACTAGAACTGCCTGTTTTGGGGCAACAACGAAAATGACGATGGCCGGTTGATTTAGCAGTCAATTTTTTGTCCAATCCAGCAAGGCCGAAGCGTCGGTTTTCATCACGTCTTCAATCTTCAGCTCATGGAATCTCCGGGTAAGCAGTCTCTTCTTTGGGTGTTCAAACCTTGTTGGAATGCTCCGTTGCTACAAACTGCCGTCACACGGCTATAAGCAGCCCCTTTGTGGCGGTCATCAAGAAGGGCGCATGCTCACAATGTATATATTTGTCGCATTTCATAGCGTAATGGTTTGTAGACAACATTTTCATTTGAATTTGGCCCCCTTATTCTTAGCCGTCATGGCAGCTTCGCTGTGATCTGTTGTCATGGTTCACACGGTGCTTTGTTGGCGCCAGACCAGCTGTTGTGGTATACCTTGGCGCGAAGATGCGTGGAGGTTTCTCGTCTGTGGACGTGGCTCGGCGGCGGCTTCTCTTTGTAACTACTGCTTCGGCGCATGCGCGGCTTGTCGAAGTTGCGCCATGTGGTGCGCAGCTGCATCTTAGTCGGGTGCTAGGCCATCAAGTGGGGATGATTTTCATGCAGTGCTTAAATGAAGCATACGCATGGAAGACGACCCAGATTAGCCGTTCCTAAAGGCTGGACAGCAGTAGTGCGAAGGTGTTTTTTGACGTATATATTAGCTCGCAATACGTTCAGGATTTGTGTATCTGCTCATTTATGTGGGGTGGTTACAGTTATTAAGTGAGTGAGTGAGTGAGTGAGTGAGTGAGTGAGTGAGTGAGTGAGTGTGATCATAGAGGTAACTGCTAACCAATTGGGATAGAAACACAAACGGAATGTAAGGGCGAAGAGTATTTATATTACAAACATGTGCGCTCGTCTCACAATGCCGAGGTGAGCGAAGTTCGTAACAGTGGAGTAAACAGGTAAATTTGTTGGTTGACGCAACCTAAGGGCAAGTGATATAAGTTGGCATTGCCGTTTGCGTAAAAAAGGCTTCGTATGTTTCCCGAGTGTGGCTATTGCAGAAGTGCCGGGAGTGGAACAGCTTTCTTGGAATCCCATGGTGCTCGATGTACGCTGGCCTGCTACTCTGCGATGGCATGCGACTCTGCGAGCTGTCAGAATGACTTATTAGTAGCTCTCAAGGTACCACTACAGTTTTTTTGAGTGAAACGATATTGTGTAATACATGAATAAAAGTTTCATTGCATGCCTTTGTTGCACGAAGCAGGTTAAAGACATACTGACGGTGTACGCTGGAGTCCTGCCACTCCCCGTTGCAAGGTATCTGACACCTTCATTCAGACGGTCATTACAGACTTGCTTTAGCTGCTTAAATTGTCGACCTTCACAGTTTGCTGATTTACGTCCCGCTGCGGGGGTATAGGAGCTAAAGTACTCGGCTGCTGACCCGCAGGTTGCGGGATCGAATCCCGCCTGCGGCGGCTGCATTTTCGGTGGAGGCGAAAATGCCGTAGGCCCGTGTGCTCAGTTTTGGGTGCACGTTAAAGAACCCCAGCTGGTCAAAACTTCCGGAGCCTTCCACTACGACGCCTCTCGTAATCGTATGATTTCAGGACGTTAAACTCCACACATCAATCAATCAAAGATTCCTTATCGACTGCGACACAATAAGTGATATTATGCTCATACGCCTCATTCACAACAATAATAGCACTGTTGGTTACACACTTGAAGTTGTGAAAGTTTCGTGTAAGAATTATGTGCATGAATTTGTGTAAGTTTCTTTGTTGTGACTCTGTGAGTGCGCGGAAAACACTCATATGTGCGGGTTCATCATTTTTGTTGTTTTTTACTCCTTGCTTTCAATATTTTCTCCCCCTTCCTTCTCTCTCCATACTGGGTATCAAACAGGCGCATGTAACCAGGTTAGCCTGTCTCTCTTTGATTTACCGGTCTCCCTCTTCTTGTGTCATGCAAGAAGTGATGTGCATTTGCATGCCATCGATGCCGGCTTTCATATTGCGGTATGAAAAAAAAAACCATTTGATATACAGGCTGTCTGAGCAGAAATAACTTTCTTAGACAGGCATTTCCCCATTTAGCCAGGGAAATGAATGCTTCTAAAATGCGCCCCTCTCTTCTAAATGGGCCTGGTCGGGTCGAGAGGCAGAACCGCTCGGAAAGAGGTAGTCGTCTAGGGTTGTGCACTAAGTCCTAGAAATTTATATTCCTCAATCAGCAAAGCCCGCTGCGTAGGAAATGATAGACAATGCACTACGATATGCTTATATTTGTTTCCTTTGTTTCTTCCTCCCCCCCCCCCCCGAGGGAGTCAGCAGTCGTTGTGCCCCTCTAGGTGGCATTCTAAAGTTAGAAGCTATGATATGCTCAAGCATCTTGCAACATATGCACGTCAAGGAAATGGGGCGATAATTTCCAGGTGAACTTTTACTACCACTTTTATGAACTGGCACTACCTTCACTATCTTCCAGTCAGAAGGTAACATTATTGTAGCGAGCTATTGCCGAAAAATGTGAAACAGGATATTGCCAGAAACATAAACAGTGTTCTTTAATATTTTTGAATTGATATCGTCAATACCAGAAGATGATGATATCTTCAGATTTTCAATATTTTAACTATGCCTTGAATTGTGATATCTATAGGTGACATGAATGAGTAATTGCGTTCAACGATTTCTGAAAGATGAGCATGCTCGCTAGTAAACACGGATGAAAAGAATGAATTAAAGACAAGAGCACAATCAGTGTCGGCAAAAGGAGTGTTATTTGAATCTTGTAATGAAATGAAGTTATCGTCCCGATCAGGACTTATTACTTTCCAGAATTTTTTCGGATTAGATTTTAGGAATAAAGGCAAATCCTGGGAGTAGTATTTATTTTTCGCAGTTGTAATTTCGTGGCAATATTTCTTTAGGCATTTCTCGTATCTATCCCAAGACGTGTGTGAACGCGAATTTTCGGCAGACCGATAAAGCCGCTTCTTTTTGTTTCTAAACCTGCGCAAAGACTTGGTGAACCATGGATCAGTTTTATCATTCGTAATCGTTATCAACGGCACGTGTTTTTCTATTAGGGCTGAAATCGCATTCTTGAAAAGAACCCAGTTTTCCTCAACTGAGCGACTGTAAAAGGAAGGCAGCAACACATTGTCAAGGAAAGACTCAAGTTTCCTGTTAATGGCATCGTAATCGGCTTTATTATAATCTCTAATTTTCTTTGATTCGGTTCCTGCAAAAGGTGGCAAGATAGAAAGGTCAACTTGCAGCAGTTTGTGGTCACTAAAGCCATTCAAATAGATTATGTGGTCTATAGTTTTACGTGCAGTTGTAAGAACGAGGTAAAGTGTATTTGAACCGCGAGTTGAGTGAGTGACAACCTGAGCCAAATAAAAGTCTAAAGTTAAGTTAGTGAAGTCAGTTGAGTACTTACAAGAAGATGACAGCTGCTCCCAGTCAATAAATGGTAGATTGAAATCACCAAATAAATAAACGATGCGAGCCTCATAAATTTCGATGGCAGAATTAATGCTGCTGCGCAACTCTTCTAAGAAAGAATGTTGACAATCGGGAGGACGATAACAGCTG